TTACAATTTCTATGAAGTCCTGGAATTTGCAGTTTAGGGAGGCATGTTAAGAATTTTTTAGTCGAAGTACTTAAATGCAGAGATTATCAACCTTTCATCCTCCAGTTGTTTCACACTTTGGTTCTCATAAGCCTCCACCAAAATGGTCAATGATGATGGATTCTGGCCACTGAAATCCAAAACACCTGGAGGATCAAAGGTTCAGAACCATTGCTCTAATGCAGGCATGAGCAAACTTCAGCCCTCCAGGTGTTTTGGACTTCAACTCCCACAATTCCCAACAGCTGGTAGCAGGCCCGTAGCCAGGATTTTGTTTCGGGGGGAGCTGAGTTTGATTCGGGGGGGGGGGGGGGCTGAGTCTGAGTGAAAGAGGGTCTACCCTAGCAAACCTTTTGTATCGTTACCCCAATACCCCTGTGCATATGGGATATATTGAGCATGGTGATCAGATCATGATATGAATAAACATAACAGTTTAAATAATGTACCAGTAAGGCCTCGCAGACCACCATGAGAATTTGGGGGGGGGGGCTGAAGCCCCCCAAGCCCCTCTCCCCTGGCTACATGCCTGGCTGGTAGACTGTTAGGAGTTGTGGGAGTTGAAGTCCAAAACACCTGGAGGGCCGAAGTTTCCCCATGCCTGCTCTATTGCCTCACCAAACTACAAATTCCAGAATTTCATAGGATGCAACCATTGCACCTGAAGTTGAATCACACTCCTATAAAATTGTAGTGTGAAAGGACACTTAGTAGTGCACGCTCTTGCTCTCCATTTATTTAAATGCTCTTCAGCTTCTAGATCCTGCTTCTTGGTAGGGGGTTGGACTGGATGGCCCATGAGGTCTCTTCCAACTCTATGATTCTATCACTACTAAAATATTTTATTTTGCTGGTGGTACAAGACAGCAATGAGACAAGTTCTACAAGGCACCATTATTTATCAAGAAAGAATCAAGCCAGTCTATCTGAGGCTGACTGTTCATTTATCTTCTCCAACACATTATTTTCACACATGCTTTTGCTTCATTATACTACCAAAGAAAGAAAGTAATAAATAAAAAGGGCACATGCAAAATTACATAAATTTTCCTTCTGACTGATGGCTTGCCAGGAACTGGAGTTTATCTTGATGTAAATCTGGCTAGCCTCTGGCTAACCTACTCCAGTTTATAGGTATCAAAGGTCACTTCAAAGTGGTTCAGAAAGCCACAAGGCTATGTACAAGTATTACCAGAAGTTTGCAATCCTCTTTCTTTTCTTTTCTTTTCTTTTCTTTTCTTTTCTTTTCTTTTCTTTTCTTTTTTTCTTTCTTTCTTTCTTTCTTTCTTTCTTTCTTTCTTTCTTTCTTTCTTTCTTCATTCTCCTAAAAAGAAAAACCTACCATCTCAAACTGTTTTAGAGGACTCTGGTGGATAATATTTTATTGACTGCATTAGGCATGTAGCCGGGGGGGGGGGCTTGAGGGGCTTCAGCCCCCCCCCCCCGAAATTCTCATGGTGGTTCGCGAAAAGGCCTTACTGGTACATTATTTAAACTGTTATGTTTATTCATATCATGATCTGATCACCATACTCAATATATCCCATATGCATGGGGGTATTGGGGTAATGATACAAAAGATTTGCTAGGGTAGACCCTCTTTCACTCAGACTCAGCCCCCCCCGAAACTCAGCCCCCCCAACCCCCCCCCCCCCCCCCCCCCCCCCGAAACTAAATCCTGGCTACGGGCCTGGACTGCATTCTTCATTCTGTGAAAACAGACAAATCATCAGAGAAGAGAAGGAAGTGATTCTGCTAGTATACTGTGTTATCAACATAAATCACTTCATGAACCCTTTAAGTACCCACAAATCAACTGTGCTTTTAATCATTCCAAAGCTTTCTCTGAATTCTAGACAACATTCAAAGCACTAGACTCAAAGCAGGCCATTTTTTTCATGTCAGGAGTGACTTGAGAAACTGCAAGTCATTTCTTATGTGAGAGAATTGACCATCTGCAAGGACATTGTCCAGGGGATGCCCAGATGTTTTGATATTTTAACAACCTTGTGGGGGGCTTTTCTTGTGTCTCCGCATAGGGAACTGGAGCTGACAGAGATCAACCCACTCTCCCTGGATTCAACCTGTCAGTCTCCAATCCTGCCAACAAGGGTTTAACGCATTGTGCCACCGGGGGTTCCAAAGCAGATCATAATGTATAATAAAATGATAGATATAGCAGAACAGATACTATGTGCATTCATTCCATCTTCACACAGGTTGAATAGTAGAATATCACAGCAGATGACCACCCCAAAAGGCTTTTTTTTTAGTGGAGAGGAAGGGTAGTGAACATCTAATATTATTGTTAAGAAGAGTGGAACAAGATATGTTGTCTCTGTATTCTGTATATACTCATTTACTAGAATCTCACAGCAGAGAAAATTCCAAAAAGTGGTCTGTTTTACCCTACTATCAGTAAATAACAGTAATAAGAAAAAGTCATTGCTACCAGCCCACTGCTGTGAAACCAAAAAGTGTAGGAGAGTGTGGCTTCAGTACATTCTCTGCTGAACAAGACTTGGGTAAGCTTGTTGTTGACACACAGTCATAATGAATCAATACCATTCTCCAGACTCAGAAAAAGACCCGTCCTTAACTGGGAAAAACAATCAAACATAATAAAATTGTCATATTTTTCACACTTACTTATCCAGGTCATAATGTTTAAAGAATTTTACCATTTACAAATGTCAATGGTGCATCTGAACCATAGAATTAATATAATTTGATGCCACTTGAAGTGCCATAGCTCAGTGATATGGAATCCTCAGATTTATATTTATTTATATTTTTTGGCAGAGAAAACTAAACTGTTTGTAAAACTACAACTCCCATCATTCTAGAACTTTGAGCCACAGCAGCTAGAGTGGTGTAAAACTGCATTAATTCTATAATGCATATAACCCTAGGGGTTAAGAACATGCTCAGCATTCAAATAGCCTGAAAACCTAAGCCCAATGTTACCTTTTAACCAGTATCTTTTTTCCTTCTTGAACCTGACTCATAGGAGAAATGTGAAAATCAAACAAATAACTAAATGGCACATGCGCTCAGAAGCAATTTTGGTGCTGCCATTTCAGTATCAAGCTCAAGGATACTGTGCGAAATAAGGATATTCTTAGCCTATTTTAAAGTTGTTCATAAAGAGGTACATATCGCACTATTCCTTCCTTCCTTCCTTCCTTCCTTCCTTCCTTCCTTCCTTCCTTCCTTCCTTGATTGCCCTCAAGAGGAAATGCTCTTGTGTTTCTCAACCTGGGGGTCGGGACCCCTGAGGGGTTCTTGAGGGGGTTTCAGAGGGGTCACCAAAGACCATCAGAAAACACATATTTCTGATGGTCTTAGGAATCCCTTTGGCAGAGAAGGCTGAAGATCTCTCCGCCTATTCTTCTCTTCGTTTTTGGAAACAGACAGCAAATCCTCCCACCAAAAGCCCTCCTCTTGCTCTCTGGATGTAGGTGAACTAAAACTCCAAAACTCAAGGTCAATGCCCATCAAACCCTTCCAGTATTTTTTTTTGTCATGGGGGTTCTATGTAGGAAGTTTGACCCAATTCTATCGTTGGTGGGGTTCAGAATGCTCTTTGATTGTAGGTGAACTATAAATCTCAGCAACTACAACTTCCAAATGACAAAAATCAATCCTCCCCCAACCCCTCCAGTATTCAAATTTGGACATATTGGGTATTTGTGCCAAATTTGGTCCAGTGAAAATACATCCTGCATGTCAGATATTTACATTAGAATTCATAATAATAGCAAAATTACAGTTATGAAGTAGCAACGAAAATAATTTTTATGTTTTGGGGATCACCACAACATGGGTTACTGTAATAAGGGGTCACAGCAGTAGGAAGGCTGAGAAACACTGTGCTAAATAGTCAACTCAGAGCTTCAGTATATGATTCTAGTATCCACAACATGTATTACTTACTCTATATCTTCCAAAAGAAATGGTGAGAGATAAGAATCTCTTTCCCTGCCCATGGAATGTAAGTAGAGGCCCCTTGATTTGTTTAAAAATGTGTTCAATAGAAATTTATTATGCATTTATTTTTAAATATTTCAATCTACATAAATGGAACATAAGAGTCCTGCTCTCATCCTCTGCCTTGAAATTTCCTTCATTTGCCAAATTTCCAGCATTGAAACAACTTAAAAGCATTTAGAAATATAGATTAAGCATCCAAAGGGGAGATGGGGTCACAGTTACCAGAGGCGGCCCTAGGTAATTTTCAATGGTAAGCAAACAGTATTTGCCCCCCCCCAACCAATCACTGATATATATTTTCTGTTCGTTGTGGGAGTTCTGTGTGCCATATTTGGTTCAATTCTACCATTGGTGGAGTCCAGAATGCTCTTTGATTGTAGGTGAACTATACATCCCAGTAACTACAACTCGCATATGTCAAGGCCTATTTTCCCCCAAGAGCACCTCAAGAGCGCCCCTGGGTAAGATCAACTATACTGCAAATGCTTACTTTGCGTAATGGGTCGAGCCGCCCCTGACAGTTACCAATGATCTGAAAACACAACAAATATAAGAATTCTATTTGTCAATGGTTTTCAGTGCTTCCCACATCCTGCAATGCTAGAAATTTGAAAATTAAACTAAATTTTCATTGTGGGCAGAATTTGATGAGCGGGCGGGGGGAGGTAATGCCTTTATTTTGCCCTCCCATAATTAAACCCTTGGGGATGGGGAATATCTGATATTCCAGATGCTGTACAATGGCAATTTTTATCATCCTTCAATATTAGCAATGGGATCAGGATGATGGGAGTTACAGGCCAACAATATCTGGATGTTCACATATTCTCCATCCCTTCTTAAATCCACAGTCCTTTGTGCATGAGTTGCACATACTGTGTTCTAGAAAAAAGGCAGAATGAAGGGGGCAAATGGGATGGATGAGAAGCTAATTAGCCTGCATGTTTCTTGCTTTTTTAAAGCTCCTCCAGAACTATGTTCATCGTCGAAGCTCAGCTCCTTCACTTGTGTTCACTAAAGCATGGAGTAAGCCTTGGCTGTCATCCAATGGGTGAGTCAAACCTTCAAGTATGAGTAGACATAGCACAGAAACTCTGGGCGATAATCCATCACTTTGTCCATGACTGTGAATCTTTTTTTTAAAAAAAAATACATTTCTATAAAGATTTGTGAGATATAGCAAAATTATCTTGGTATAATGGCATTTATACCACACAGTTATAGCACTTTGATTCCACTTTAACCACCATGGCTTCATTCCATGGAATCTTGGAATTGATAGTTTTATGACATATTTAGAATCCTTTTCCAGAGACCTCTAGGACCTTTCCAAACTACAAATTCCAAAATTCAATGGGATGCAGCCATGGCAGTTACTTTTGAATGAGTGCTATAACTGTGTAATGTAAAATGGTCTGCAATGAGCAATATCAGTGCCCTATTTCCAGTAAGTTCTGTCTTGAGAAGGCAGGTGCCAACTGAAACAGGGATGCATTCCTGCTCTCTATGATCTATGAATACATGCTTATTGAGATGTACTCATGGAGAGTGAAAGCTCATGATGTCTTTGGTAGTATTGGAGGGAAAATGTCTCTCAATACCATTTGCTGGAGAATATAAGTGGGGCAGTTAGCACAGTATGACCCTTGCATTCATGGGGGCACATTACTGTACTTATTATTATTATTATTATTATTATTATTATTATTTACTTCATTTCTACTCTGCCTTTCTCAACCCCGGAGGAGACTCAAGACAGCTTACAAATCTGGCCAAAATTTAATGCTGCACAAATAAACAGTAAAAACACATATCATTAAAATATAAAACAATCTAAACCTATAAGCAATTAACATACATATCAATCAATCAAACAGATTAAAACCATCTAAAATGCCAAGTCATGAAACTCTATAGAAACAATAATCATGAATTTTACTGAAATAAACAACCCTCTACCAAAAGTTACCATTGATTCAACATGAAAGACCTTTAAAACTCCTTAAGATGACTCTCTGTTCATCTCTGGTGGATGCATACCATTGAATCTCCTCAAGACCTCAAAAATTCAGAGAGGGCACATTTTGACAGATGCATGTAGATGAAGCCATGGGTTCTGGTCTCAGCATATGGGAATTCTACAGCATTGGACTCATGTCCTGTTTTCTGTAGCATCTGGCTGTCTACTATAGAAACTGGATGCTGGATTGGATAGTTTTAAGCTCTTGATACAGCATGATTTTTCTATGTATTTATGTAGCCATGTTTGATACAACATATCCAGTAAGTTGAAAGAGGAGAAACTGAAATCCAGTGTAAAGAGAAACTATGTAGCAGGAGCACTCAACCTACATAGGGTTGTATTAGGCCAGGTGAGCCTTGGAAGGGGTTGAATTCTCATTCTCATCAGCCCAAGTCAATCTGGTCAGTGAGTTATGTTGGGAGTAGTAGTTGTTCTTCCACATTTGGAGGGCCAAAGATTCCCCACCCAAAGTTTATATGGATAGTATTCTTCCATGTGCATACAAACAGCTCAAAAACATCTCACTCAAGCTGGAATGTGTCCAGAGGAAGGCAAGTAAAATGATTAAGGGGCTGGAGAACAAGCCCTATGAGGAGCGGCTTAAAGAGCTGGGCATGTTTAGCCTGCAGAAGAGAAGACTGAGAGAAGATATGATTGCCATGTATAAATATGTGAGGGGAAGTCATAGGGAGGAGGAAGAAAGCTTGTTTTCTACTGCCCTGGAGACTAGGACACAAAACAATGGCTTCAAACTACAGGAAAGGAGATTCCACCTGAACATTAGGAAGAACTTCTTAACAGTAAGAACTGTTCAGCAGTGGAACTCTCTGCCCCGGAGTGTGGTGGGCGCTCTTTCTTTGGAAGCTTTTAAACAGAGGCTGGATGGCCATCTGTTGGGGTGCTTTGAATGCGATTTTCCTGCTTCTTGGCAGGGGGTTGGACTGGATGGCCCACAAGGACTCTTCCAACTCTAGGAGTCTATGATTCCTCTCCTTCCCTTCTAGTGTTCCATCCAACAGTCATAGCCAGGGTAGACATTATAAAGCTGAGCCTATTTTGCAAATACATTTTAAACAATATTTCTAAGATTTTTTTTATTTCCACTATGGCAATTGCATCTCCAGAATAAGAACACAACTGTGCAAAATTCCTCTAATTTGTAGTGCAAAACAAACACTTAAAACAATGCAATAATTAAAATGAAGAACAATTTTAGCAAATATAAACTTATTAGTATTTCAGTGGGAAGTGTAGGCCTGCTTTTGGCTGATGAGATAGGATTATTGTTGTGTGCTTTCAAGTCATTTCAGACTTAGGTTGACCCTGAGTGAGGGCCGGGTAAATGACCCTGGAAGGCCATATCTGGCCCCCAGGCCTTAGTTTGAGGACCCCTGCTCCAGGTCCTCCAGCACAATTATGTAGTCACCTTTCACTAGAGATTGATCACCAGAGGGTCTAAAATGCCTAGAAAAATGTTATCTCTAGGAATTTCTAGGTCCTCCAGGATAATTCTATGATCAACTTCAACTAGAAGTTGTCCATGGCACCATGCTGGAGGACCTAGGATAATGGAAACAGTAATGAAATCTGCAAATAATGAAATACACAAATTTGTAGAGAGCAAGCTGTAATTCTTAAGAAATAAACCCCACCTCACTCCAAGAAATAGCTGGGTAATTTCTTCTTCCCCTTAAATAGTTTGCTCACAAACAGCATGGCTAATTTTGAAAGAGAGGCTACTTGCTTGTGGTTTTCTTTTACATTTCATGTTGACTGTAGTTTTACCACCCATTTTAATTGGATTATCCCCTTGGACTTCTCTAGGACATGTGAATCCATTGCCTTGCCTGGATCTTTGATACTGAAAGATGAATATCTGTGTTTTGTTTTCCAGAGAAAACCCTGGTTGCCTGGTACCAGTTGAGCAATGTCCTTTTGTTCTAGGCTTGACTGATGAAAACTCAGAGCTGATCCTCACAGACAGCGTTATCATAACCGAAGGGATGAAAACCACAGCGAGACATCTTTTCCTCTTCAGCCGTACCCTTGTTGTTGCCAAACTGAAGTAAGAAATGTAACTTTCTGTGTTACCTTCACTCAACTAATGTAGGGTTTGTGTACTGTACCATAGGGTTGTCTCCTTCCCACAAAGGGTGGCCTCCCCAGGAGAATCGATATAAATAAATTAGATAACCACTTAATCTCCCCTTCATAGATACTGGGTTTAATTTATTACACTCTTAACTTGAATTTGTGTACATTCTTTACAAGTGAAACATAATTTTTGCTTCAATATGGTTGACAGCTTCTGAAATGATTTCATGGCTTCAGAATGAGGGCTAATCCAGAAACTGGAGTTGAGTGAATGTTTCTTGCAACCTTTCTACTGAGGTCCGTTTTACACTGCCATATAAAATCCAGATTCTGTGCCTTGAACTGTTGTCTAACTTCCGTTATTAACTAGGAGTTGTTTGTAAGGCAGATGTTTGTAACTCGGGGACTGCATGCAATTGGATAGCATTTTGGTCAGGGGTGGGCAACCATTGGAATTAAGACACATTAAATGGTGTCCCCCCCCCCCCCGCGCCTCAAAAAATGCAAAACAAAAAATGGAAAAAGCTTGTAGCAAAAAACTTTGTGGGTGAAATTGGATTATAATAGGCCCAGAACAAGCTTGCAATTCCAGTTTTGTCTCCTGGGCCTAAAATAGCTGAAAGGGGTCAAAACATGGCAAACATGGCAAAAATAACCCCCGTATACCAAGGGGATATTCTATGGTACTTTGGGACAATTATTCTTTTTTTTAAAAAAATAATTTAATTTTTAACAAATAAAATTAATCTATTTGCATTGAACTCTAAAAAATAAGAATCTCAAAATTGGGGGCTGGGGCCATGTGTATCATAAAATGGCCATAGAAATTTGATGAAGTGCACAGGTCACACTTTCCCCAACCCTGGTTTAAAGTGTTCATATCCTACTAGATCAGTGTTTCTCAACCTTCCTAATGCCATGACCCTTAATACAGTTCTTCATGTTGTGGTGACCCCCAACCATAAAATTATTTCTGTTGCTGCTTGATAATAGTAATTCTGCTACTGTTATGAATTGTAATGAAAATATCTGATATGCAGGATGTATTTTCATTCACAGGACCAAATTTGGCACAAATAACTTATATGCCCAAATTTGAATACTGGTGGGGTTGAGGGGGATTGATTTTGTCATTTGGGAGTTGTACTTGCTGGGATTTAAAGTTACAATAAAAGAGCATTCTGAACTCCAACAATGATGGAATTGAACCAAACTTTGCACACAAAACTCCCATGATCAACAGAAAATACTGGAAGGGTCTGGTGGGTATTGACCTTGAGTTTTGGAGTTGTAGTTCACCTACTTCCAGTGAGCACTGTGGACTCAAACAATGTTGAATCTGAACCAAACTTGGCACAAATACTCAATATGCCCAAATATGAACACTGGTGGAGTTTTTTTTTGGGGGGGGGGGGGGGACCTTGACATTTGGGAGTTTTAGTTGCTGGGATTTATAGTTCACCTACAAAGAGCATTCTGGACCCCACCAACGATAGAACTGGGAGAGACTTCCCACATAGAACCCCCATGACCAACAGAAAATACTGTGTTTTCTAATGATCTTTGGATACCCCTTTGACACCCCCTCACGATCCCCCCCAGGGGTCCCAACCCCCAGGTTGAGAAAAGCTGTACTAGATGATACATTTTTATATTGCTGGATTTTTATTTTTGCAAAGACCAGTTCTAGATTTTTCAGTGACAAAGCATGTACTTGAATAAGGACCTCTTCACATGGGTTGCTGTTGGACTCAATGGGGAGAGGCCGGATGCTCCAAGCACACTCCACACTTTCCTCCATGTGAATGCCCTCAGCTGGAGCCGGGCGATGCGGGGTGTGAGGTGCCGGGTTTCCCACCCCCCCTCCCATGAAACACAGCCATGTGACAAGCTCATTAATAGAATGCAAGGTCATTAACAATGAAGTTAAAACCCTTTGTTAAGTGATGCCACTAACAAATGACATTCTGCTGTTTCTGCTCATAGCACAGCACTTAAGTTGCTCAAAACATTGTATTGGAACAGAAGATTGACTTCTGAATACTTGCTGACTATACTTTATCCATTCTGCAATTTTATTAAATAATATCACTTGCAGATAATCCACGAAAACCTTGCACGTTTTATATATGACTAAAGTCAGATGTCACCTGCTTGGTTGTAAACAGTTTTGGGGAAATTCTAGATTTGATCAACAAAGGCAAAGCCATTCCCTCTGGGGCTTTTTCAGAGTAAAACTCTCAGGGGAGGAAAAAGTCAATCTGGAAATGAAACTTGTAGCTGCTTTATTTAGAACAAAGTGAATGAATCATTTGTAGATGTTTTTGTTCACTACCTGCTTCTTTGCCCTGAATAAAGGGGAAACCCTGGTGTTCATACTATCAGAGCTGGCCCAAAATATTTTGCTGCCTGAGACAGGACAAAATGGCATCTTCTCCGTCATCTCATATATACATGTACTTAATTGATTAACTGATTGATTACAAGACATGATAGTAGAGCTGTTCAGCTCTGGAATATGCTGTCTCATACTGTGCTGGAGTCTCCTTCTACAGAGACAATAAGCAGAGCCGAATGACCATCTGTCAAGAGTGCCTTGATTATGCATTCGTGCATGGAAGGGTTTTAGATTGGATGGCCCTTGGGGTCTCTTCCAACTTTATGATTCTATAATACCATCAGCTGCTTGAACCTTCCCAATTTTACTGCCTTTCCTCTGCACTAACCCTAGAAAAGATGCCACCACAAACGTGGTAACCTGGTATTTGTTTTTTCCCCTTCTCTTTCTGCAAGCTTTTTGGTGGTGTTGATGTGATAATGTTTCAAGGGCAGCAGAAAACAAGTCTGCTCCCTCTTCCTTATGACACCCATTTCACATATTTATACATGGCTATCATGTCTCCTCTCAGCCTTCTCTTCTGCAGGCTAAACATACCCAGTTCTTTAAGATGCCTCTCATAGGGCATGGTCTCCAGTCCTATGATCATTTTAGTTGCCCTCCTCTGGACACCTTCCAGCTTGTCAATATCTCACTTGAACTGTGATGATGCCCAGAACTGGACACAGTATTCCTGGTGAGGTCTAACCAAAGCAGAATACCAGGCATGAGCAAACTTTGTCACTCCATGTGTTTTGGACTTCAACTCCCACAATTCCTACTGGCTGTTAGGAATTGTGGGAGTTGAAGTCCAAAACTCCTAGAGGGCCAATGTTTGCCCATGCCTGGTCTATACACTATATTCCTTTTGATGCATCCCAAAATTCCATTGGCTTTTAAGCTGCTGCATCACACTGTTGGCTCATGTCAGGGGCGGTTCAACCCATTACACAAAGTAAGCATTCGCAGTATAGTTGATTTTGCCCAGGGACGCTCTTGAGGTGCTCTTGGGGGAAAATAGACCTTGACATATGCGAGTTGTAGTTACTGGGATGTATAGTTCACCTAAAATCAAAGAGCATTCTGAACTCCACCAATGATGGAATTGAACCAAATATGGCACACAGGACTCCCATGACGAACAGAAAATATATATCAATGATTGGTTGGGGGGAGGGGGGGCGGCAAAATACTGTTTGCTTACCGTTGAAAATTACCTAGGGCCACCTCTGGCTCATGTTCAACTTGTTGTCCATGAAGACTCCAAGATCTTTCTCACATGTACTGTTGTTGAGCCAGTAATCACCTATTTTGTATCTTTGCATTTCATTTTTTCTGCCTAAGTATAGTATTTTACATTTGTCCCTGTTGAAATTCATTTTGTTAGTTTTGGTCCAGCTCTCTAATCTGTTAAGGTCATTTTGAATTCTGATCCTGTTCTCTGGCTATCCTTCCTAATTTGGTATCATCTGCAAACCTGTTAAGTACACCCTCTAAACCTTCATCCAAGTCATTAATAAAGATCTTGAACAACACTGGGCCCAGGACCAAATCATGCGGTACTCTGCTAGTCACTTCTTTCCAGATGAAGAGGAACCATTGGTGAGCACCCTTTGGGTTCAGTCGCTTAACCAAATACAGATCCATCTAATAGCCCATCTTTGATTAGTTTGCTTGTAAGGAGGTCATAGGGGACTTTCTTACTGAAATCGAGATATGCTACATCCACACCATTCCATGCATCTACCAAAACGGGGCCATAATTGTTTGAGTCTCATTTTTCCCCTTCTTTAAGACAGGGACAACATTTGCCCTCCTGCAATCTGCTGGTACTTCTGTTCTCCAAAAATTCTCAAAGATTATTGCCAGTGGTTCTGAAATGACTTATGCTAGTTCTTTCAATATTCTTGGATGTAGTTCATCTGGCCCTGGAAGTTTGAATTCATTTAGAGTTGCTAGGCATTCCTGGACTAATTCTTTACCTACTCCGTTTTGCTCAGATTGAACCTCAGTCTCCTTTTGGGAGAAGTCTGAGGTAAAGAAGGTGTTGCGCAGCTCTGCCTTTTCCCTATCCTCTGTTAGCATTTCACCACCTTCTCTTTGCATAAGCCCTACCATTTCATTTTCTAATGACAAACCAAAAACTGCTTTTTATTGTTTTTTATCTCTCTAGCAAGCCTGAGTTCATTTTGTGCCTTAGCCTTATCGTCTTCCGTGGTTATTAATTTGAATCCCTCTTTGGTGATTTCCCCCTTTTCCATTTCTTGTGCATGTCATTCCCACCTAAGGATCCCATCACTTCCACTGCATCAACCAGATCCTCAGTATTGATTAATAACAATAACTATTATTATTATTATTATTATTATTATTATTATTATTATTATTACCCGCCTCTCCTCATGGCTCGAGGTGGGTTACAAAACAATGTAAATACACAATAAACAAAGCAAACACACTACAAATACACACACTAAAACCTACCTCCATAAAAGTTACATACCAAAACATATATCAATGAAAACATATTAAAACAGATAAAACAGAGATTAAACAAGGGACATGCATTAAAATTCATGTTTATATTTTAAGAC